CCAGGTATGGTCAAGGACAACGTCCATGTAGTGGACCGAAAACTTATTTTTTTGTGTTTTTTCGACTCGATCTATAGGCCACAATTGAAAGCCGAACATCACAACACAACCCACGGTGAAGGGCATCTGGACAAGTAATTAGAAGGGCTGTACTGAATATATGTAATATTCGGAAAATATGTTAGTGTAAGGAAAAGGTGCTTTCGAAAAGCGTCAATTTTTCAAATCAGAAATTGAAAAATAATATTTCTTTTCTCTACTCTTTTCTAGAGAAAAAAAAAACAGAGCCCTGGGTCGATATTTTTCTATAGGAAAAAATTCGTGATACTCTCTCTGATGTTTTTCTATAGAAACAAATTTTAAGATTTCTGGTGTATAGAAACAAATTCGTGAGACCTCTGGTAGATTATATTTTTCTATAGAAAAAAATTCGTGAGACCTCTGGTCCAAGTTGTTTCAGACAAAAAATCGTGAGACCTCTGGCTCAAGTTTTTTCTATAGAAAAAAATTCGTGAGACCTCTGGCTCAAGTTTTTTCTATAGAAAAAAATTCGTGAGACCTCTGGCTCAAGTTTTTTCTATAGAAAAAAATTCGTGAGACCTCTGGTCCAAGTTTTTTCTATAGAAAAAAATTCGGGAGGCCTCTGGTCCAAGTTTTTTCCATAGAAAAAAATTCGTGGTCCATGTTTTTTCCTATAGAAAAAAATTTGTGAGACCTCTGGTCCAAGTTTTTTCTATAGAAAAAAATTCGTGAGACCTCTGGTCCAAGTTTTTTCTATAGAAAAAAATTCGTGAGACCTCTGGTCCAAGTTTTTTCTATAGAAAAAAATTCGTGAGACCTCTGGTCCAAGTTTTTTCTATAGAAAAAAATTTGAGGACCTCTGGTCCAAGTTTTTTTTTTTATAGAAAAAAATTCTGAGGACCTCTGGTCCAAGTTTTTCTATAGAAAAAAAATTCTGAGACCCTCTGGTCCAAGTTTTTAGAAAAAAATTCGTGAGATCCAAGAAAAAAAATCGTGAGACCTCTGGCTCAAGTTTTTTCTATAGAAAAAAATTCGTGAGACCTCTGGCTCAAGTTTTTTCTATAAAAAAAATTCGTGAGACCTCTGGTCTAAGTTTTTTCTATAGAAAAAAAATTCGTGAGACCTCTGGTCCAAGTTTTTTCTATAGAAAAAAATTCGTGAGACCTCTGGTCCAAGTTTTTTCTATAGAAAAAAATTCGTGAGACCTCTGGTCCAAGTTTTTTCTATAGAAAAAAATTCGTGAGACCTCTGGTTTTTTCCTATAGAAAAAAATTTGTGAGACCTCTGGTCCAAGTTTTTTCTATAGAAAAAAATTCGTGAGACCTCTGGTCCAAGCTTAGAAAAAAATTTTCTGGTCCAAGACTATAGAAAAAAATTCGTTCCAAGTTTTTTCTATAGAAAAAAATTCGTGAGACCTCTGGTCCAAGTTTTTTCTATAGAAAAAAATTCGTGAGAAAAAACCTCTGGTCCAAGTTTTTTCTATAGAAAAAAATTCGTGAGACCTCTGGTCCAAGTTTTTTCTATAGAAAAAAATTCGTGAGACCTCTGGTCCAAGTTTTTTCTATAGAAAAAAATTCGTGAGACCTCTGGTCCAAGTTTTTTCTATAGAAAAAAATTCGTGAGACCTCTGATCCAAGTTTTTTCTATAGAAAAAAATTCGTGAGACCTCTGGTCCAAGTTTTTTCATTAGAACAAATCGTTACACCTCTGATCCAAGTTTTTTTCTACAGAAAAATTTGTGAGACCTCAGTTCTCGATTTGAAGTCTACGGCTCTTAATTCCAAAAATGTTGACAGTAATTTTAGTAGGACCTTGCGTTGCCGACTTTATTAACATTACATAATGCGTATTCCTTTGTTTCATTGTTTATATAAAGCTAAAAATAAACTCGCAATCGCCTTTTCAATCAATAAACATTTAAAGACGCAAATATTGATATGTATTCAGGTTGGATGTTGTTGGGCTCCATTTAAATGTTGATAATTACAGAGAGCCCCACAACTTTAATTGGAATTTATGACCGTAATTAAGGCAATGTTATCAGAGAAAGGTATTCAGTGGACCATTGAACTACATATTGAATTTCCGACTTTGATGTAATCATTTTCTAAGTCTGAGCTTTAGAAGTTAAATGAAGGATATTAAAATTCGAATAGCAATTTTTTCCATTAACAAACAGCGACAGGTGTTATAATCCCCTCCCTCACGTTAATCAAATAAAAAAACAAAATTCCAAATTACGTCAATTTTTATTTTGAGCCGGTATTCCAAACTTGAAAACTTTATTTTTTATTACCGGCTTTTATTTCGCTCTTTAAGTATACCCTCCCCCCATTGCTATTAAGAAATCGTTTGCGATTTAATTGAGTTTTTGTTTTTTTTTTATTTTCGCAAAGTGTTATATGGGGAGTGGTTGGTGTGATACCGAAACCTATTGATTTAAATCACTTTACAATATTTGTCAGACAATTAAATCCAAACTAAATACATTTCATTAAAGACAAAAGACAGCAAAAAACCCCCAACCGAACATTACGAAATGGTAGCCAGTAAATTATCAATAAAATGCTACATGTTTGGATTTTGAAAAAAAAAAAATCTGCAAAGTGTTGATTATCCCGGGACCACGATCACTGTTACGCGTGAGTCTACAACAACAGCAGAAACCTGCAAATCTGGTATAACTTTTACTTCGTGTGTCACATTTGTGTTTTTTTCGAGTCGTTGGAATGTTTCGAAGTAATTGAATTCCAATGGTTTTATTGCTTTCAGACAGGTTGAAATAAAGTCGATTTATTTTTTATGACTTGAAAAAAGAGATAACGAAAGTGTCCAGTTTGAGTATTTCAATATTTAATGTCATTCTATGGGTGTGGGAGTGTTCTTTGTTAAAGAACAAAAAGTTTTTTATTTGTTTGGTATTCTAAAACATAAATCTTAGATCTAAATTTTGGCATGAGTAAAAGGCTGAAGATAGCCAGACAAGACTTTTTTCTAAGAAAAAAAAATACCGACCAAAGGTCCCACGAATTTTTGTCTATAGAAAAATCTTGAACCAGAGGTCTCACACATTTTTTTCTATAGAAAAAAATGGGACCAGAGGTTTCACGAATTTTTTCTATAGAAAAAACATGGACCTGAGGTCTCACGCATTTTTTTTATCGAAAAAACTTGGGTCATAGGTCTCACGATTTTTTTTCTATAGAAAAAATTTTGACCTGAGGTCTCACGCATTTTTTCTATAGAAAAAATTTGGACCAGAGGTCTCACGCATTTTTTCTATAGAAAAAATTTGGGTCATAGGTCTCACGAATTTTTTTCTATAGAAAAAACTTGGACCAGAGGTCTCACGAATTTTTTTCTATAGAAAAAACTTGGACCAGAGGTCTCACGAATTTTTTTCTATAGAAAAAATTGGACCAGAGGTCTCACGATTTTTTTTTCTATAGCAAAAAATAATCGACCAAAAAACTATAGTAAAAAATAATCGACCAGAGGACTCACGAATTTTTTCTATAGAAAAAAAAAAAAATTTTTTTATATAGCAAAAAATAATCGACCAGAGGCCTCACGATTTTTTTCTATAGGAAAAAATATCGACCAGAGAAAAAAATAAAAAAATAGAGACCGGAGGTCTCACGAACTTTTTTCTATAGAAAAAAATATCGACCAAATGTTTCACGATTTTTTTTTTCTATAGAAAAAATACCGACAAAAGGTCTCACGAATTTATTCTATAGAAAAAAATATCGACTAGAGGTCTCAAGAATTTTTTCTATAGAAAAAAATATCGACCAGAGGTCTCACAAATTTTTTTTCTATAGAAAAAACTTAGACCAGAGTTCTCACGAATTTTTTTCTATAGAAAAAACTTAGATCAGAGGTCTCACGAATTTTTTCTATAGAAAAAACATGGACCAGAAGTGTCACGATTTTTTAATAGAAAAAAATAACCAAGCAGAGGTCTCACGAATTTGTTTTCTTTGGAAAAAAAATCGAACTGAGGTCCAACATATTTTTCTATAGAAAAAACAATGGACCACAATTCTCACGATTGTGGGCGCCTTTAAAATATCCATTGAAAAAATAGGCCTTCTATGGTCTCTGAAAAAATACGGCTTAAAAAATTATGGTCCCTGAAGTGTTCCTTAGAACATCTACGCGTTGTCTATTCCTGGAAAAATGTCTCTTAGAAAATCCGTGTCCTATTATTATATTTCTTGAAAAATACAGGTCTGGATTTTTGAAACTTTTAAAAATATTTTTTACAAATTCCTGATCTGTTCTAGTCCCTACAAAAATATTATTTAAAAAATCCGTACATGTTTTAATCCTGAAATAAATTTCTCTGAAAAAAATTCTTTTAAAAATGCACACCTGTAAAATTTTCTGTATTTATTTTTTACCCCTGAATATTTATTTTTTTTTTTAAATAATAATATGTTTTTATAGAATAATATTCCAAATGTCTTCCATAGGAAAAACTGAACCTAAGTTCTTTTGATTGTCTTAAATTAATTGCTTTTTTGCTTCAACATGTTTTTTTTTCTATGTAACCAATTAAATAGCAAAGCTTTAATCATCGATTAAAGTCCAATAAAAATAGTAATTTTCTGTTCTTGGAAAAAACGCAAAACTTTTTATGGTTCAGAGTGTAATTGTTCCTACACGTAAACGACAATAATTACTGACGCACCTCACTGAATAATCAAATGCTTTGGCAGTCAGTGTAAACACTCACACATACACACACACACATATTTACATGCACACACCTGAAACACTAATCAAAACTCGGCAAATTAATGTGAGAACCTAACCTTGCCCACCAAAACGACAAGAAGTTCGAGGTGCGCAGGCGCACTCACACTCAAAGAATCGATTGCAACTAACTGTTTTGCCACGACCGAATTAATGGTGTGACTGACTGGCGCCCATAGTGTCACCTAACCACCCACATCCCATTATGCGAAACTTACCTGAAAAATCATATAGCCTGAATCATACATCCAGAAATCGTCGAGCGTATGGCCGGGCTTCGACAGCTGTATAGCCAGGCATTGTTTCAGAATCAAACGGCAGCGTTGAGGTCCACCCGGTGATTTGGTGCCCATGGTTGGGGAATTCTTTTTCGTCGATTTCAAGTTTAATCCGAAAGAGCGACAATGTTGAATCTCGTTGCGTTGTGTTGGCTGGCTGGCGTTCAGTCCGGTTTAAGCCGGTCCTATTAATATTTTAATGTGTTCAGTAGCTGAATCGTTGGTTGGTTGGCTGGCTGATTAACTGGCTTGTTTGCCGGTGGCTAATTTTATTCTATTCTTGGATTTTTTCTTTATTACTTTGTTTTCTATTTTTTCTTTGGATTTTCCTTTTGTGGTGTTATTTTTTTCTTCTTCTTTTTTGCTTTGTTGTTTTCTTTACCGGGCGTTAAAACGTTCAACAATAAAATTTATCATTCTTCCGGGGTTATGTTGAAATACAACTTGTCAAACGGGTGATCTTTAATTTTTTTCGTGTGATTTTTATGTTATGGTTGCACACACACACACACAACAAAACACTCAACACTAACTTTTTTATACTCTACACTACACACTCACACGACAGGCATTATCACCAAAATGCTGCCGTTGCTTCTTCTTACTGCCGTTGTGGTATTATTACACATGCATACACACGTTCGCATCACCTTGACATCGGTCGGTCGCGCGTACTCAGCAGACGCGTTTGGCGACGACGACTATAACCCACACTCAACGGATTTGTTTTCGCAAAACAACACACGACAACGACGGCGGACGGTAATCAACTGACGAAGCCAGTTTGGATGGATTTCCTTTGAGCCAAGTTGTTGGTTTGGCAGTTCGCAATCGTGTTGTGTGTGGAGCTCGTCGAAAACCACTTCGTTTTCTTCTCCGATTGTCGTCGTTGTTGACGACTTCGTTCGCTCTGTTCTTCTCAGTGGGTAAAACTTTAATAGTTGTCAAACGATGGCGTTTCGATTGCCGTTGTCTTTGCCACTCGTTGTGGTAACTTCGTCTGGTCTTTCTTCACTTTCTGCGCTCAACAGCATGTCTGTCGTAAATTGATATTCTTATTGTTGTTGGTTGGGGCCTGCAATGAGATTTAGAAGACAAAGAGAATATGGATGAGTGGTGTTTTTTTATTTTTGGTTATTAAAAGCATTGGTGAGAAAACATTTACATACAGTGTGACACATAAACCTTTGCATAGTAAAATTTACAGAAAAAATATCGACCAGAGGTCTCACGATTTTTTTCTATAGAAAAAAAGTGTGGACGATAGGTCTCCACGAATTTTTTTCTATAGAAAAAATATCGACCAGAGATCTCACGAATTTTTTCTATAGAAAAAAAAACAATCGACCAGAGGTCTCACGAATTTTTTTCTATAGAAAAAAAAACAATCGACCAGAGGTCTCACGAATTTTTTTCTATAGAAAAAAAAACAATCGACCAGAGGTCTCACGAATTTTTTTCTATAGAAAAAAATATCGACCAGAGGTCTCACGAATTTTTTTCGACCAGAGGTCTCACGACTTTTTTTCTATAGAAAAAAATATCGACCAGAGAAAAAAATATCGACCAGAGGTCTCACGAATTTTTTTCTATAGAAAAAAATATCGACCAGAGGTCTCACGAATTTTTTTCTATAGAAAAAAATAATCGACCAGAGGTCTCACGAATTTTTTTCTATAGAAAAAAATAATCGACCAGAGGTCTCTCAATTTTTTTCTATAGAAAAAAATAATCGACCAGAGGTCTCACGAATATAGAAAAAAATAATCGACAGAGGTCTCACGAATTTTTTTCTATAGAAAAAAATAATCGACCAGAGGTCTCACGAATTTTTTTATATAGAAAAAAATAATCGACCAGAGGTCTCACGAATTTTTTTCTATAGAAAAAAATCGTCGACCAGAGGTCTCACGAATTTTTTTTTCTAGGTCTCTCAAATAGAAAAAAATAATCGACCAGAGGTCTCACGATTTTTTTCTATAGAAAAAAATAATCGACCAGAGGTCTCACGAATTTTTTTCTATAGAAAAAAAATAATCGACCAGAGGTCTCACGAATTTTTTTCTATAGAAAAAAATAATCGACCAGAGGTCTCACGATTTTTTTCTATAGAAAAAAATAATCGACCAGAGGTCTCACGATTTTTTTCTTTCTATAGAAAAAAATAATCGACCAGAGGTCTCACGATTTTTTTCTATAGAAAAAAAGTCATCGACCAGAGGTCTCACGATTTTTTTCTATAGAAAAAAAGTCATCGACCAGAGGTCTCACGATTTTTTTCTATAGAAAAAAAGTCATCGACTAGAGGTCTCACGAATTTTTTTCTATAGAAAAAAAGTCATCGACCAGAGGTCTCACAAATTTTTTTCTATAGAAAAAAGTCATCGACCAGAGGTCTCACAAATTTTTTCTATAGAAACGAAAGGTAGTAAAGTCAAACGGGGCCGACTATATGATACCCTTCATCACTTTGAGTATATTCATCAGATGGAATCCTAACAGACCTCGCATTTTTGACGGACCATCAACATGTCATTCTGCAACCTATACTAAATTTTGGTCAGATATAGAGTTGCTTCTTACTAGACTTAATTCATACGTTATGCCAAATTTCATGCAAATCGAAGGATATATAGGGAGTTTCGTGCACTATTTACCTAAAATCGGACGAAAATATATATAGGAGCTATATTTAAATCTGAACCGATTTTTCCCAATTTCAGTAGGGTTCGTCTTTGTGCCAAATAAATGAGCTGTGCCAAATTTCATCCAATTCAAATCAAAAGTGCGACCTGCACTTTGTTTACAATTCAACATGGGCAGACGGACATGCATAAATCGACTTAAAAAGTGATTCTATGCATATTCTCAAAATGATCCATGTGTCTATCTCGTTTCCTTTTGCCTGTTACAAACATATACACAAAGACATAATAACCTGTACCACAGTGTGGTGAAGGGTATAAAAATATCGACTAGAGGTCTCACGAATTTTTTTCTATAAAAAAAACGTCGAAAAAATATCGACGTGAGACCTCTGGTATATGTTTTTTTTATAGAAAAAAAATCGTGAGACCTCTGGTCTAAGTTTTTTCTACAGAAAAAAATCGTGAGACCTCTGGTCTAAGTTTTTTCTATAGAAAAAAAATCGTGAGACCTCTGGTCTAAGTTTTTTCTATAGAAAAAAATCGTGAGACATCGGGTCTAAGTATTTTTGTATAGAAAAGATTCGTGAGACATCGGGTCTAAGTATTTTTCTATAGAAAAAAAATCGTGAGATCTCTGGTACAATGTTTTTCTATTATTAAGATTTTTTAAATAAAAAAATCTGTGTATATTATTTTTGGGTACACTGTACCACTACACACCTCACACTTCAACTCCAGTGGAAGAGAATAAATATTTGAAATGTAAACACATACACAGACACATTTGTTTGAAGTGCCTGAGATTTATTATACACTCTGAATTCTTCGCTTGTATGGGCCTCTCCACATTGCCATTGTCGGCATTTAAAGGGTTATTTCTCAGCCGGCAAATATAAACAATATTTTATTCACTAATTAAGAATTAAAGTATTCAGTGGTGAATTCATTGTGCCGACAACGATAATGATGATGATGGAGATACAAATAAAAATTAGGTTAATTTTATGACGAACCACAGACAAAACAGAAGTGGAACTGATTAATTAGTTGATATTTTAGGAGTTAATGATGTAAATTGATGGATTTATTACTCGGGGAACAAATATTGTACAGAAGTAAATTTTTTGTTTAAATTAAAAATAAATTGGAGCAAGTCTTCCAAAATCTTCTCTGTAAAAAATCAAGTGAGGAAAATCACCTATATGTTGCAAATAAAAAACTAATTGTCTTGAGGTCTTTCAATATATGTTTTCCAAAGGAAATAATTCACATGAGGTCCTTCGACTTTTTTTCTTATGGAACTGCCCATATTGGACACCATATTTTAATACATAAATACATATCTAATAAAACCTCAAGTAAAATGATTTGTGATCGTTACAAAAAAAATATTTTTTTCTAGAGTACGCAAATATGTAACCTCAGTAATAATTTGTTGATGTTGTTGCCAATTTTAATTTTGCCGGTAATATGAGAACATTTTGACAACTATCTACTTGGCAGTCATGAACCGCTCACTCACTGAGTAGACCCATTTAGACATGGCTACAATAACAAAACCCCCTATGGCATTACAATATGTATTATTGTTGTTGATTGTGTGCGTGTGTGTGTGTTTAAATGTAAATGCCTCATTGTAAACAATAACATTTAAATGTTATTAATATTTAATTATAATTTTATATACAATAATGACAAAACCAAAAATGTAAAGTAGACAACAACAACAAAACTTGGCTAAACTATTTAAGCCATTTAGAAGATAGAAATGATGATGACAACAACAACGACGCATCAGAATGAGGAAATCGATATTTTATAGAGAAATGCGATTCCTCCCTTTTATGTAAAACTGCCAGACTGCTATTATGACTGCTAATTAGATTGACAGAAAGTTGAACGGGTTAAATGGAAATGAGGGAAGAATTTCAAATTTCAATCGTCATGCCTAAGTGACATGTGGTTTTTCGGAGCAGACAAAAGTAATAGAAGAATACAAAATAATAATATTAGAAAAAAAAAATACAAAATATTTTTAGTGGCTACTAGAAAAATATTTTTTTAAATGCACGCCACTTATAAGCGGCTGCTTAAAAAACAAAATAATAAATCCACGACTGAAAGGCAACTTTCTACAGTGGCTTAAAAAAATATTTTTGTAAAAAAAATCCAACACGTGATGGATAAGGAAAGTAGTAAACTCGGACTGGGCCGACCTTCACCACTTTGGGTATATATGGTACATATGTATCCTTACAATTACATGTCAATGTTCATTCGAAGGAACATACTCATCTCTTTCTGAAACCTATGATAAGTTTAATTTCATTCGAGAATCGTCTGCCTTCCAATGGACAATTTTATGGAAAACGATATATTGCAAAATTTAATTTCTATCAGACACCCGTTAGAAATTCATATGGAAGCTATGGCTGCATCTGCAGCTGTTTGCAGCACAACGCAATAACTTCATTCA